CACCTGAGGTCCTCGCCCGTAGTGAAGCTAATGTGTAGAGTGAAAGTTTGAAAGGAACCACAAAAAGCAGTCATTACCCAGAACATGCAGAACCACAGTTAACTTAGAGCGTAGCTAGCCAAAATGAATTCAAGTTCATAGATTTCTACATTTTTTTACGAAAAAAATTAGGGATAACATTGAAACATACAGGAAAATATTAGAAATTATTTCAGATATTATGATCAATTAGGTAACATGTTCATGTTTAACTGAAAAAAGAAGCTTCCGCAATGTAAAACTTTCAAATTATATGTTATATTGGACATGACCACAATGTATTCTTAATAATCAAAAGCAAACAAGAACATTGCTATACACCGCAAATGACTTGTTTTTTTATCTAGCGCAAGTGATTATTCCATAAAATAGAAATAAATTGCCAAAATTAACCCTGTTGAAAAGACTGCCAAAAATACAACTGCGTCGTATCATATTTCATTTTCAATTGCATCGTATCATTTCGTATAAATCATTATTTTCTTAGAAAATAAACATCTCTTTTTAATGAAAGTTCAGTAAATGATCCAAAATAATATTTCAAAGTTTATGGTGAACTCGGAAACAAATATATAATTGATTAGAAGGAAAAAACGATAGATAAAGCAATATGAACTGCGTCGTATCCACACATTTTCATAAAAATTCTGCCCCGCTTCGAGTTGCAAGTTCGCTATAACTTTTGTTTTACAAAATAGTTGTGCAAGCAACATATACCAAACGAAGCGGAAAATAGTGTAGCGTGTTAATACATATATCTGGTTTTTAGTCATTTTCAACAAAAAGAGTTATAAACAAAAACATACATTTTTCGCTCCAAGATGGCGGCGTTTGTTTACATTTTGTAGGATACGACGCAGTTTTGATTCCCAGCCCTGATTAAGTTAGCTGGCCAATGTGTTAAAAAAGTACTGTTATCTATAGTTCATATAGGTTTACACTCAGTCAGTTTTGCTCAGTTTTATGAAGAATTATGATAGAATTCATTATTTAAATTTAATGATAATGGTGTTCATTTCATAAAGCCATTTTAATGACAAGCTTTATTTAACAGTGACTGTCTACCTAGATATCAGGGTAAGTGAAATATTCAATTATTTGCAAATTGTAAATTTTTTTCATTGAATTCCTTTGTACATGGAAAATTATTTGATAAAAGTAAAGTTGTTATATTGAATATAAGTTGAATAAGTTAAATTGTAAATATGGGTTTATCTTCCTATACTTTCCTTTCAAACATTTGTTTTACTCAAATTTAATGTGTGTGATATAACAGTAAGAAAAATGTCTTCATTGATAGGTCATGGTGTTGAAGGACATATGAATGTCAAGAGCGTGCGTGGTGGTTTTTTAGTGTGAAGTGCCAGCAACTAAATATCATGCAGTATTTTGTATCATGCTGAGAGTTGGTCAACATTAATTGTAACATCTACGCAGAATCGTAACCTTTTATTTTGCTGTTCGACAATGACCTTTGTTGGTCCAAGATGACATTTCTTATTACAATAATTGACCTTTATAGGTGGGAGGTGACATTTCTTAGTTATATATTGACCATTATAGGTCGGAGGTAACCTTTATATTATGACCTTACAAGGTCGGTGTGAATTACTTACAACGATAGATTGAATATTGACATTTTAAGGTCGGAGTAGATGATAACTTCGTGTGGAATTTATATAGTGTTGGACGGCAAAATAAACTGTTAAGTGGAAACAACGATAGAGACAATATATGTGTTTTGATATATTTTTCTAAGAATATTCTGCAGTGACAATACTTAAATTCTTTTTAACTACTTGAGTGAACTTAGAATTTCGTAACTATCAAACAAGTACTTTAATATTTGATAAAATTATGTAATTTTAGTAAATGTATTGAATTTTATTGTATAAATAAATGTGTATATAAATGTAAAAGGTCTTTTTTGTAAAATAGTTATTTTGATGATAGAACTACCCACTCTTGCCATCTCCGACTTGTGACAATGGCCAGGCTGAAAAAATCATAAGATGGAAACCAAAGTATTTTACTTGTAAAATAAGCGTAATAATTATTGTCATAAATAAATGTATTCTGAAAGGAAAGCCACACTGACACCAATAGTAGAGTCATTAAATGCCAATTCTGCATAACTGACCTCAAACACCCTTGTGTCAGCTTAAAGACCCATTAAGCCTCAAAATGCTATCATTTCTTATTTTGCATAAGAGTATTATTTTTGGTGCCATGTTATAATTTATATCAATATAATATTTAAAACTAAAAGAAACAAAAACTTTACAATTGATATTCACACGTACTCCCACACACTTGCAGACTATTAATTCTCATGTTTACAAAAGCAGTTTCAAAGTTTTGTCATTCATTTAGCTATTGGCTGCCCATTAAATGTGTCAATTATATTGAAATTGTGTTTTAAAAAATATCAAGCATATCACAAATAAAAAATACACTTACCTCTGTCTTTCGTATGTTACTTTTTTTATCTTTCTCTTTAGAAAACGCTACTCGAAAGTTTTGATAAATAATTCACGAGGACCAAATTTGAAACACACAAACATCCTGTAAAACAACAACAAAAAAGATGTAAAAAAAAATAAATAAAAAAAATTACCAGTACATAATGTTACCAAAGTCTTAACATTGCAATAATGTCTTACTAAACCGAAATAAACAGAGAACAACTTGTTTTGAAATGTTAGAATTACAGGGCCATCAATTTATGTACCGTAAAAATAAACAACAATGTTTTTTTACCTGTCTATATCTGCCAAAAGCAGGATACCCTTAATAACATCCATTTAAAATTTGATTTTTGTAAAATAAAAAAGGTATTTATTAACAACATCTGTATTATATGGCATGGTATGCATGAATCCATATTGATAGATACTGCATCCAACCCTTTAAGAGTATTTTGTGCAGGTGCTTGCCAGTGTAATAAATGAAAAGAAGATATGTTCAGGAGGAGAAATTAATACAAAAATGTACTTGTGAGAAATTTGAAACAAGTTGATAGTGTTAATATAGATTAGATATACAGTTAAAAATGTTAAAACCAGCCAGTACACTTAAAACCTATGGCACAGTTTAGTTACCCCTTGCCTAAAATGATCCAGGGTAGAATCTTGCACAACCTTGGCTGGCAGAGAATTCCAGAGTATGATCGTTGCTGGGGAAAAAAAGTGGACTTCTTAATTGTTACATGGAGTATATATTTGTCAGGATTTGTCTGATCAGGATCCATGCTGTTCACTTTTAACCTTTTAACAAGTAGAGAAACTGGTAGCGAACAGCATGGATCCTGATCAGACTGCGCGGATGCGCAGGCTGGTCTGGATCCATGCTGATCGCAAACGCACTATGTTGGTTTTGTCGCGACGCGGCACACATATTTGTCCATATCAAAGAGAATGTATGTGTCTAGTGAGTAGGGTAAAAGTTGTAACATAAGGATCAAGGCATTAGTACTGCAACCAGTCCATGAACAATCTTATGAACATCAGTAGCCTGGTATTAATTCTTCTGTTTCCAAGGAAACACCATTGTTTGTTTGTTTGTTTGTGACACTGGTGTAAGGGGAGAAGTTGCCTGTGACCCATTGAGCAGCTTCAAGGATGTACCCATTTCGATCTGTTGTATATTTAATTCTGTATTTGGACACAATAAGCTACAGAACTCAAGCTGTGGTCGAACAAGGGATTAATAGGCAAACTCTTTGATATTACTTTGTTTTGTTGGGATGTTTCATTTCATTAAGTTAAGAGTTTTAGCCTTATCACAAGCATGCAGTGCTTTACTGCTGTTAAATTACATGTAATCCCACAATAATTTCACCTTATCACCAGTATGCAGTGCTTTGACTGGTTGTAAAATACATGAAATCCCACAATAACTTTGCCTTATCACCAGGATGCAGTTCTTTGACTGGTTGTAAAATACATGAAATCCCACAATAACTTTGCCTTATCACCAGTATGCAGTGCTTTGACTGGTTGTAAAATACATGAAATCCCACAATAACTTTGCCTTATCACCAGGATGCAGTTCTTTGGCTGTAAAATTACATGAAATCCCACAATAACTTTGCCTTATCACCAGTATGCAGTGCTTTGACTGGTTGTAAAATACATGAAATCTTATAATAACTTTGCCTTATAACCAAGATGCAGTTCTTTGGCTGTAAAATTACATGAAATCCCACAATAATTTCACCTTATCACCAGTATGCAGTGCTTTGACTGGCTGTAAAATTACATGAAATCCCACAATAACTTTGCCTTATCACCAGGATGCAGTGCTTTGACTGGTTGTAAAATACATGAAATCTTATAATAACTTTGCCTTATAACCAAGATGCAGTTCTTTGGCTGTAAAATTACATGAAATCCCACAATAACTTTGCCTTATCACCAAGATGCAGTGCTTTGATTGGCTGTTAAAATACATGAAATCTTAACAATAATTTTTCACCTTATCACAAGCATTCAGTGCTTTGACTAGCTGTAAAATTACATTAAATCACACAATAATTTTGCCTTATCACCAGTATGCAGTGCTTTGACTGGCTGTAAAATTACATTAAATCTTAAAATAATTTTGCCTGATCATCGGCGTGCAGGGCTTTGACTAGCTGTAAAATTACATTAAATCACACAATAATTTTGCCTTATCACCAGTATGCAGTGCTTTGACTGGCTGTAAAATTACATTAAATCTTAAAATAATTTTGCCTTATCACCAGGATGCAGTGCTTTGACTGGCTGTAAAATTACATTAAATCTTAAAATAATTTTGCCTGATCATCGGCGTGCAGGGCTTTGACTGGCTGTAAAATTACATAAAATCTTAAAAAAATTTTGCCTTATCACCAGGATGCAGTGCTTTAACTGGCTGTAAAATTACATTAAATCCCATTATCCCCGGCTTGCAGGGCTTTGACTGGTTGTAAAAATTACCTTCAAACTCTTGTCCGCCCCAAGTTTGATAAGTGCCTCAACCTGATGTAGAATTATAATCTGATAAGCCTCATACACACTCCATGGACGACCAAAATCACCGTTTGGGGCTGTAACATGTATATAGAAACATGAATATATCTAAAGATCTGAAAAAACATTAACTGCAACAACAATCTGCCAGTTTACAGTAAAACTGTCAAATGTCTATGAAGCATAACATTTTTATTGTAAACATCAAAAGTCTAGAAAAAAACACAGGCACGAGTATCGGACCTGGGATGAAAATATATAACTTAACTTATAGTATATTTTAAAGGGGGTCATTTTTTACAATTCTTTTTTTTTGGTTTTTGACACTTTTAAGATGAACACAGGTTTTATTATCAATCTGGTCATATATTTTCATCCCAGGTCCGATACTCGTGCCTGTGGAAAAAAATACAGATAATAAGATGAACTATTAAATATATACAATGTTGTATATTGTAGTGTGGTAATTCTAAACCAGCAACACAACCAGTAACACAAGAAGCTTGAGATAGTATAATTGTAGGGAGCCCAACAGTTGTGAAAATTATCGAGGGTAACAAAAAAATCTACATCTACTGGAAATATCTTAAATAGAAAGTTAAAAGATCTGTATATGGTTACTTTTCAGGTCCTCCTAAAAATGGACGCAACAAGAGCTGTCAGTAGGACAGCAACGCTCGACTATTCTTCGTGCTTGATAGTAAAAGAGCCTAATATGATAATGTAAAAGTTTCAAAGTTAACAACAGGGCATAATTTTTCTACAGTTATATGCCTTTAAGAGAGTCCTATTATGCTCTCAAAGAAGAGTATAAAATTGCAACTTGTTTAAAAGCCAGATGTTAAGAGAATATGAAAATATCTGAGGTGGTAATCAGGTATGCAAACTTAAATTATAAATATAAGTCAAAAAAAGGGGCATAATTCTGTCAAAATGTTTGATACAGTTACCTTCTCCTGTCTAAAGGTTGGGGTCATGATGGTGAACAAGTGTGCAAAGTTTCAAAGTCATATGTCAATGGACTTTGAAAATATTTGAGGTATTACAAAAACTTTAACATTTATAAGTGGTAACGCCGATGCTCGGATGACTACAATAGCTCTACTTATTCTTATTGAATAGTCGAGCTAAAAACAAGATTGCATTTGTGAAAAATGCTATGCCACTGCATTAATACAACACTAAATAGTAGTGCAAAAACAGAAAATTTATTTTGTTTCTATACAATTGAACATTGCCATAATGCAAAGATCCCTGACCTATCTTATCCTTATTATCAGATTAGTGGATTTAATAACAATATTTGTTAACAAAAGAGGACATGTCAATGTTTGTGGTTAAATCTATTGTTATTCAAATAAAAGGTCAGAGTAGGGACCTATCAATGCAGTAAGACACTGTCAAAATCTAGGTCAGCTAATATCAAAGTTCAATTTACATCCTAATCTATGCACATGGTTAAATTTCACAGCTTTACATCAAAGGACAAGAAAGTAGGTCACATCATCAAAATCTAGGTCACCTGATATCAAAGTTCAATTTTACAACTAAAACTGTGCACATGGTCAAAATTTCATTGCTGTACATCAAAGGACAAGAAAGTAGGTTACGGTCCCCTTGGGCAAGGCAAAATTTTGACCCAAGGGTTTAAACAATCTTGATACAGGTCCACCAAACAACATTTCAAGTCAAATATCTAAGCTGTAGCTTTCTCCCATTCAGAAAACATTTGTTTTATTTTCTGTTTTTACTATGTGTATATAATGAGAATCACTGCACCCAGGCAGGGCCAATTTTCACACCAGGGGAAAAATTTGAACAACTTTGGTAGAGGACCTATAGATGATATCATTTAACAAATATTAAAGCTCTATGCCTTGTACCTTCAGACAAAAATATTTTTTATTCTTTTACTATATGTACATAATGAAAATCAATAACCCCTGGGGCAGAACCAATTTTGACCCCAGGGCTACTATTTAAACAATCTTGGTAAAGGTTCACTTTGCAAAGTCTAATGCCTTATATTTAACATCTAGCCTTTGTCAATTCAAAGAAGATTTTTCAAGTTTTTACTTCTACATATAAGGAAAACTATCGCCTCTAGGGCAGGGCAATTTTAACACTAGGGACATAATTTGAACAACTTTAGTATAGGACCCATAGATGATATTATATACCAAATATCAAAGCTCTAAGCCTTGTACCTTCAGACAAGAAGATTTTTTAATTTTTTACTATATGTACATAATGAAAATCAATGACCCCTGGGGCAGAACCAATTTTGACCCCAGGGCTACAATTTAAACAATCTTGGTAAAGGTTCACTTTGCAAAGTCTAATGCCATATATTTAACATCTAGCCTTTGTCAATTCAAAGAAGATTTTTCAAGTTTTTACTATATACATATAAGGAAAACCTATGGCCCCCGGAGCGGTGCTATTTTTGACACTAGAGGCAAAATTTGAACCACTTTGGCTGAGTACCTATAGATGATATCATTTAACAATATTAAAGCTCTTAGCCTTGTACCTTCAGAAAAAAGATTTTTTTTGATTTTTTACTATATGTATATATGAAAATCAATACCCCGGGGTGGGGCAATTTTGACAGAGGTGAATCGCTATATTGCCACCGCATCGCAGATGCTGCAGTGGCATATAAAATTGAATTGATTTCAAAAAACAGTAACTCTAAAAAAGCTTTAAAATAATTCAGTTCAATAATGAAAACTATCTTCAATTCTTAATGCACAGCCATCATCTAGGGTACCAAAGTGGCTATATAAGCTCTGCATCTTGATTCATGGCTAAACTTAAAGATTTTTTAAATAGATGTTCATGCTGCACACCATTGACCGACCACACTTTTGGCTATGATATTTGGTTATATTTTGAATCAAGATGAAAAACGCTGTTTAAGTGTCTTGATAATATAAATCAATTCTATGTGATAATTAAATTCACACAATCATAGTTATTGCTGTGAAAGCGCCACATTTCTTGATGATAAAATAATTAAAATCTTGAAACAAGTGTACATGAAAATATCAACCTATTGTTATCAATATATTTAAATTCTCATCTTGCCCTTGGTCGTGTTCTAGAGCTGTCATTGATTTATTGCAGAGCATATTGACGATACATCAATATCAGATGACAAATATCGGCGATACATCTATATATACAACAAGCAATTATCATAGTATTGCAAGCAATCCATAAGTCCCCTACCGGTAAGAGCCCAAGCAACATTCTGAAGGGCCATTGGCCATTCACTTATGTTTCTATTTTAAGCAAATTTGTTGAAAAAGTTCTTTAAAAGTGATCACAGTGAACAGACAGACAGACAGACAGACTGAAGGACAGTCTAAAGTTATTTTTTAAACATCCCTGTTATCAAAAATATAACATTTAAAAGCAAAATTTAAAAAAAAAAAAAAGGAGATAACGATGTCATACATGATGTGAGTGTAACAAAGAACAATTAGTAATGAAGGTATGAATATTGAATATTTATTTTGAAATTGAAGTAAATGAAAGTTAAGAACAAATAGGAAAAATTAAAAGTTTAAGGAGGAGATAATTCTGGAAATATGGATGCTAGATTTTATAAACCTTGTCATATTATAATGTGGGAGTTTGAAGAAAATTCTATCATGATTGAAGAAGTTGGAGTAAAAATTACCAATTTCTCAAAAAAAGTCTAAGTTCAAAAGGGGCATAATTCTGGAAATAGTCTTGCTAGAGTATTGAACACTCACAAATGTTGAGTGATAATTAATAAGAAACATTTATATGAAGTTTGAAGTAGAAACGTTCAGAAAAAAAGAAGTTATTAAAAAAACAATGTTTTTTTTTCATGAAAATTTTAAGTTCAAGGGAGGTAATTCTGATAAATTTTGTGCTAGAGTTGTAAACTTTGTCACATATGATGTGGTTGATGACTAGCAACTTATTTTTAAAGTTTGAAGAAAATACCTTAAGAAATAAAGAACTTATAGTGAAAAAACTTAAAAACTAGAATCAGAAATCTTGAAATTCAGTCTATTTGTTGCCATAGCAACCAGAATTTTCAACACAGGAAGGTAAGAAAAAGATGTGCATAATTTCCATACTGCCATCTACCCATATGTCAAGTTTCATAAAAATATTTTCAATACTTTTTGCGTTATCACTGGATCCAGGTTATGTGTAAAATCTGCCATATTTTCAGTCTATTTGTTGCCATAGCAACCAGAATTTCAGCATAGGAAAAAAAGAAAAAACGTGCATAATCTCCATACTGCCATCTATCAATATATCAAGTTTCATAAAAAAAATTTCAGTACTTTTTGCGTTATCGCGGGATCCAGGTTATGTGTAAAATTTGCCATATTTTCAGTCTATTTGTTGCCATAGCAACCAGAATTTTCAACATAGGAAGAAAAGAAAAAGAGACGTGCATAATCTCCATACTGCCATCTATCCATATACCAAGTTTCATTAAAATATTTTCAGTACTTTTTGTGTTATCGTGGGATCCAGTTTTGTGGACGGACGGACTGACGGACGGACAGACGGACGGACGGACGGACGGAGGGTAAACCTAAAGTCCCCTCCGGTAAACCGGTAGGGGACTAATTATATATCAATATAATTATATCCTAATTTGTTACATACAATTCACTTAAATCACTTTCATACCTATTTAAATAATTTAAGTAAAAATTACATGTTCTGTTCACACAAATATGTTGTGTCCTGTTTATAAATGTTCAATTACATGATTTTTTCCTAACAATTTTTTGTCATCACTGCTACCCACAACAAGAGCCACCGCCGGGCAGGGGCAACGCTCGACTTTTTACTTTTTCTTAACGGTTTGAACAAATATTAATGTTTCCTTTTTATAATTTCAATAGGTCTGTCTTGTCACACTAGTTTTGTCGACGTATGAATCCTTTCCATAAATAAATGACAATGTTATTTTTTACTATATGTATATATTGAAAATCAATACCCCCGGGGCGGGGGCAATTTTGACAGAGGTGAATCGCTATATGCCACTGCATCGCAGATGCTGCAGTGGCATAAAAATTGAATTGATTTCAAAAACAGTAACTCTAAAAAGCTTTAAAATAATTCAGTTCAATAATGAAAACTATCTCTTCAATTCTTAAGCACAGCCATCATCTAGGGTACCAAAGTGGCTATAAGCTCTGCATCTTGATTCATGGCTAAACTTAAAGATTTTTTAAATAGATGTTCATGCTGCACACCATTGACCGACCACACTTTTGGCTATGATATTTGGTTATATTTTGAATCAAGATGAAAAACGCTGTTTAAGTGTCTTGATAATATAAATCAATTCTATGTGATAATTAAATTCACACAATCATAGTTATTGCTGTGAAAGCGCCACATTTCTTGATGATAAAATAATTAAAATCTTGAAACAAGTGTACATGAAAATATCAACCTATTGTTATCAATATATTTAAATTCTCATCTTGCCCTTGGTCGTGTTCTAGAGCTGTCCATTGATTTATTGCAGAGCATATTGACGATACATCAATATCAGATGACAAATATCGGTCGATACAGTCTATATTACGAGGGGTGATCCAAAATTCGTGGACAGATGTGTGTATCTCATAACGTGACGTCCTAGCCGAGGTGAACTTTTGGATATTTTTTAATCAATGTTTTTTTAATAAATTGACCAAATTTTAAACAACCAATTGCATTTTTTATCTATATATGACAACATAAAACAATTAAGTAATCTAAAATCGCGGCGCAGCTTACTTTTTCTCTGTGATGTAAACATTTTCATCTCATTTTAAACACATTGTTAAACCTGTGAAAATTGCGGCGGAAACGTTATAATTAACGTTGTTTTGATGTGTATGACGTCATTTCTGTCAGTATTAGAGATATTTTTGAAGTTGTGGTTATGTTACGCTCGTGTTTTTTTAAAGAACAGGTGCTAAAAACAGCTTTTATCAAAAAATGGGACGTCACGGATCCAGCAAAACTTCGAGACAGTTATACAGTTCTGTGTAAATTTTGGAAAGACGCCTGGCGAGACAAAAACAATGATCGAAAGTGTGACAAATAAACCGTCAATGTGTCATTCTCTAGTTCCAACTGGAGCAGAAGTACTCTGTCATTCACCATATTCGCCTGATCTTTCCCCGTGTGGCCTCGACTTGTTTCCCAGGTTAAAGAAAAAGTTGAGAGGGAAACGTTTTGACAATCTGGATGAGTTGAGAGGAGCCACCCAATGCATACTGTCATCATTCATCCAGGAATGGTATGCGAGTACATTTAGAGACTGGGTCCGCCGCCATGAAAAATGAGTGTGGGTTAAAGGGGGAATACTTTGAAAAGTTATAAGGCAAAACGGTAACATAGATTACTTCCTATGATAGCATAACGTCGTTTGTGACGTCGTGAGCTGCGCTGCGTTTTGTCGTAACTATGTATATAAACTGGTGCAGAATCGTTAATTCTTGTACAATCTTTACAATATTTTGAGAATTTTCCGACATATGCTCACTTAATAAGATACTAGAATTTCATGAGATTTGCTTTATTACTTTTTGTTTTATGCAGCGTGTCCACGAATTTTTGGATCACCCCTCGTACATGTATACAATTATATATCAATATAATTATATCCTAATTTGTTACATACAATTCACTTAAATCACTTTCATACCTATTTAAATAATTTAAGTAAAATACATGTTCTGTTCACACAAATATGTTGTGTCCTGTTTATAAATGTTCAATTACATGATTTTTTCCTAACAATTTTTTGTCATCACTGCTACCCACAACAAGAGCCACCGCCGGGCAGGGGCAACGCTCGACTTTTTACTTTTTCTTAACGGTTTGAACAAATATTAATGTTTCCTTTTTATAATTTCAATAGGTCTGTCTTGTCACACTAGTTTTGTCGACGTATGAATCCTTTCCATAAATAAATGACAATGTTAAAGGACAAGAAAATATTATCGGGGTTACCCAGTTGGGGCCTCAAAAAAGAAAGAAAAAAAAGAAAATATCAAAATTCAGAAGAAAATTATTTTTTTTCTATTAATTATATATATATATAAATATAAGTCAAGCTTAAAATCACAGCAATTCAAAACAAGAGCCCGGTTTGAGCCGGAGGGGAGATAATTCAAAAACCGGGCAAAATAGAGTTATGGTTCTTTGACACTGCACTCCCTCTCAATGCCCTCTACCACTGTATGAAGTTTAAACAAATTATCTCCAAGGGTTTTCAAGTTATGCTCCGGACAAGAAAACGGACGGACAAATGGACGGACGGACGGACAAGGCGCCAACTATATGCTCCCCCGAAATTTTTCAGGGAGCATAAAAATTTACTGCCTAGGAATATAAATAAATATTGTATTGAAACAAGGTGTGCCAATGAGAATTATATCTTTGTTTGTTTGTTTGTTTCATTTTACGCCTATTCCCAACAGTATTTCAGTCATATAGGCGGGAAGTTTCCTAACCATCGTTCCTTGAGAGTTACACCAGTATTAGACTACATTCCTACGCGCTTAACTACCAAAGCATCTCCAGAGGATCGAACCCACGCCAGAGAGACTGGATTAGAAGTCATCGTTTCTAACCACTCGACCACGGAGGCGGTGAGAATTATATCTGTTTCATGTTTGTTGTTTTTTGTTTATTGTAAATTTACAAACTAGAATATATGTTGAATAAAACTGAAAATATCGTTTTTAGCTGAACATTGACTATTTGTTCAAAACTCCATATAATTTTGATAGAAAAAAACATTTTTGGATAAAAAAAAAATATTTTAAACCTACCCTACCCTGGGTAAGACATGAGTTGAGGGAGGGGAAACAAAGATTTTAAGGCTTGCCTTACCCTGTCTCTTGTTTCGCCTTGGAGTTGGTGGTTCTTTTATTTGACCAGTTCTACTAAAATTTTCAAAATTTTCCTCTTCCGCAACAATCACGCGAACATCCTGCAAAATTAATATAGGAGATATTCAAGTTTTTTTTCTATAAATACAGAACCTATTTTCATTGAGTGGTATGAAGATAAACATTTCATGATTGGCGGTAGCTTGTTGAGAAACAAGATAGCCCAGTTGGCCCTTATATTGCTCACCTGATTATTACACTCTTAATGAGAGTAACGATAAATATTGTTAGCTATGAATTAAAAGCAGAAAAATGTCATTATATTCAACTAATATGATACTGCACCTGAAATAGTATAAATGTAAACAATGTTTATCTATATATGGGCTCTGTGGCCTAGATTTTTACCCCAGACGACCCATATTTAAAGTTGAGCAAAAAAATCAACATAACAAATCTTCCTAACCAATTTCCAGGAAATTTTGACCGAAACGGTGTGTTAACAAGGAATTCCATATTTGGAATGTGTGACATAGTTTTTCATCCAGGGTGACCCATATTAGTACATGACCTAGAAATCACAACCCTGGGTATTTACTATTTACACCGTAACAGTAGACTGTAGAGTGTTAACCTTACTTTTCAAAATTTGGACAGTGTGACCTTGTTTTTGACCCCAGGTGATCAATATTAATTTTGAACTTGAGCTAGATATTATCAAAACAACCTGTCCAACCAATTTCCAGGATATCTCGACTTCTAATGACAACAATTTGAAAATTAAAGTCAACACCTTCTGTAACCAAAATTATAAGAGCCAAAAGTTTGTAAGGTTTTATAGTAAAATTATAAGTTTAAAGTGAGAATAACTCTTTAAAAAAAGATCCTAGAGTAATGAACCTTGTCATACATGATGTGAATTATGCCAAAGATTACTTATTTAAGTCTAAAGTAGATATCATTGTATAATAACACAGATACATGTAATTGTTCAAAGAAAAAACAACAATTTTCAATTAAATCCCATGTTCAAAATGGAGATAATAATGGAAATACAGGGGCTAATCTTGTAAATCTAATTGCATATGATGTAGGTGTTGATAATATACATGTTTTTGAAGTTTGAATTAAATCAAACTTATAGTTTGAAATTAATCGATTATAAAGTAAAGAAGTTAGAGTAATTAGTAACAATTGTACGAAAAATTCTAAGTTCAAGGTGAGATTGTAATCAATCCAGCAGTTGCAAAGAAATAGCAATATTGCTCTATATGCATACTACATGTTACTAATCAAGGGCCATAACTCTGTGTTCAAGGGTCTGACCAGAACAAGGCAAGGATATGCACATCTCCTCTTAGAATTACGGTTTCCATAAAGTTTCGTTGAATTCCAGCCAGTAGTTGCAGAGAAAAAGCATGGAAACCATTATTGCTCTATATGCATACTACATAACTTATCAATGGCTATGGTGAAGAGTCAGACTGAAAAAAAGGTGATGATATGTGCATCTCAGCTTGATATTAATGGTTCCCACATAGTTTCATTGAATTACAGCCAGTAGTTGCAGAGAAGTAGCGCGGTAAGTTAACAATTATTGCTCTTTATGCATACTGCATAACTAATCAAAGGGCCATAACTCTGTATTGAATGGTCAGACTGGAACAAGGTGATGATATGCGTATCTCTTCTTGGAATTGATGTTTCCCATAAAGTTTCATTGAATTCCTGTCTGTAGTTGTAGAGAAGTAGCCCGGAAAACATTATTGCTCTATATGCATACTACATAACTAATCAAGGGCCATAACTCTTTGATGAATAAAGAAGTTAGTGTAACAATATCACTTGTAAGGAAAATACTAAATTCAAGGGGAGATTATTCTGAAAATATTGTTTTTAAAGTAATTTTTAAAGTATGAACCTAGTTACTTATAATGTGGTTGATGATAAGGAACATATATTTGAAGGTTACAGTAGATTCCTTATGAAATAAAGAAGAGTAAAAAATAACATTTTTTAAAGGCACATTATGCCAAAACAAAGATTGTTTTTTCCTTCACATTTGAATAATGTTTAAAAGCATGTAAGACGCTTATTGTCTGCATAATACAGTCATGAATGTGATTATTCTTTGTCATTAAAGTAGCAAAAATTATTTCACGAGCACGACTCATAATATTTGGGTACATGACCCACAGCTTTGGGTACATGACCCATGATTTTAGGGTACATGACCCCACGGCTTTTGATACATGACCCCATGGCTTTGGATACATGACCCAAGATTTTCTGGTACAGGACCCCATGGCTTTGGGTTACATGACCCATGACTTTTGAGAACATGAATGATGATTTTTGGTAACATGACCCTTGGCTTTTGAAAACATGATCCATAACTATGAGATTGGGATTCTTTCTGATCAAAACAATGTTGAGGAGTTAGGTTTGCTTAGCCCCATTGTCGGAACCCATGTACTGATTTTGCTGACCTACATTCAACACCCGTGGGAAAATTGGTTGGAGAATCTTCGTAATGCATAAATATGCATGACTCATTTCTATCCAATGAAATCAACAGTTACAAAAAATTAAGTATCCCTCAAACATGAAAAGTACCTAAAAATGGCAGCCTCCATTGGCGAAATGAAAATATGTGGAATATGTTTAGGATGCATAGGAATATAAATGAAATGTATACATGACAAGTAAACATGGGTTGCCAAGGATGGTTTAGACCATGACCTTCTTCATTTGACTTATCTTTCATTCCTAAATTAAGGTAAGTATAACTTACTCTATTTTCAATATGTTTTAATATGTTTCTGAAAATGAGGGGTAAAAATGACTTATGGGTGGAAAATAATTTAAAAGACCTTTGACAAAATTTGTTAAGTACATAAAGTTCAATGACAGTTCAAAGACATGTTGAGGAATCAAAACCAATCAATTATATACTTCCTACATATAATTATCATAAAGCTTATATACGTATTTTGCATCAGGATATTTACATTGATAGATCAGTAACATTTAATCAACAGGATGAGGATTGTTTGTTTGTTACTAGTAAATATACACAATTGTCACACTCTTCATTCTCATCCAAGTCAATGACATTACCTTTTAAAGTGCTCAAATTGAGGGCACAATAAGTCCTAGCAGCAATAGTATCAGTCACTATCAGTCCTAGTCACAATTACAAATATGCTGGAAAGGGAATATACTAAAGGCAAAGGTCTGTTATTACTGCCACTAGGTCTCTTATTACTGCCACTAGGTATGTTATTACTGCCTCTAGATATGTAATTTCTGCCACTAGGTCTGTTATTACTGCCACAAGGTCTGTTATTTCTGCCACTGTCACTAAGTCTGTTATTACTGCCACTAAGTCTGTTATTACTGCCACTAGGTATGTAATTACTGCCTCTAGGTATGTTATTACTGCCACTAGGTCTGTTATTACTGCCACAAGGTCTGTTATTTCTGCCACTTCCACTAGGTCTGTTATTACTGCCACTAAGTCTGTTATTACTGCCACAAGGTCTGTTATTTCTACTAATGTCTTATTACAGCCACCAGGTATGTTATCATTGCCACTTGGTATACTATTATTGCCACAAGATCACTTGCTCTGTTTGTAGTGCCACTAGGTATGTTATAATTGCAACTAGATACAATATATGTAATTACTGTCACTAGGTCATCTTGTCTGTCATTACTGCCTTTAGGTCATTTATTTCTACCACAAGGTCTGTTTTTACTGCCACTTGGTCTGTTATCATTGTTACTAGGTCTGTTTTTACCGTCACTAGGTCACTAGGTCTGTTTGTAGTACTTCTAGGTCTATTACCATTACCACTAGGTCTGTTATTGTCACTTGGTCTGTTTTTACCAGTCACTAGGTCTGTTATCATTGCCACTAGTTTTACAATCACTGCCACTACATGTAGGTCCATAATTCCGTTTGTAGTGCCACTGGTATGTTATAATTGTCACTAGGTCTGTTTTTACAGCCACTAGGTCTGTTATTACTGCTGTAGGTTGTTATCATTGCCACTAGGTTGTTATTGCCCCTTAGACTGGAATACAAGCTCTTGGTCTGTTATTTTTGCCAGACTGACCTGGCTTAGACTGATGGCAAAGGCTTATTATTTTCAGTTCCAGCAGATTCAGATTTAATAACATTTAATATCCCTGCATGAAATTTATAGACATCAGGATTTTTCATTTTTATCTGCAGAAACAGATGTGCCAATGAAAAACAACCTATTTGGCCAAGGGTCAAGGGGGATATTTTAATATACGGGCTAAAAATTACAACTAGTTTTGACAGCATTTCAACCAATGATATGGATTGCAAATCTGCTATATGAAAACCCTGAGACCTACATGTGATGCTACAAATATTAAACTGTGAGTGTCATTGAAATAAATGTTTCAATGAGGAAAACAGATATATTTATGTTATTGTTCATATTAATATCACCACATTTGTAGATAACATGAAATAGATCCTGATGTCACTACTTTCCCACTTTCCAGCAAGCCTTCCCTGCAACCCTATCCCATGACTTTGTAGTTTGAACTGGTTTCTTGGGTTTGTATGAAAGTAATTGGTACTTTTTTTACTTGATATTATACAGCAATACATGTATATGACTTTACGTTGCATGTTTTCACAGAATAAGACCAACATAGTAACATCTGAATTGTAACTCACAGTATGAGAACAAAGTTAAACATCTGTTTATGCAATCTATGCTTCCATTAATTAAACCAGTGCTTCTTTTTTGGTTGGGTTTTACTTTTCACCAACACAGTATAGGTCATATGTCGGCTTTCAAGCTTTACTGGTGGAGGAAAACGTCAGGTGCACTTCTGTGCATTATTTTTCAGGCACCTGTGTAGAACCACCAACTTTCCATAAGCTAGATGGAAAGGATAGCTTCCTTACATGAAAGAATCCAAAGTCCTTTTGGGGATACAAACCCACAGTGGTGAGGGGCAAGTGGGTTGAAGTAAACAACCTTAACCACTCAACTGTCTTGAAACAAGAATAGTAATTATATCAGTATGTTCTTTAATTAATAAACAACAACAAAAAACCCTTCCTGTTAGGGTTAGTTACTAAGCAATTAACTAGCTATCTCATCTGCAACTATAAGTCAAACAGACATTCTGCAATATCTACTGTATTTGTTTAAAGTTTTTTTATTTATCAAAGGGACAATGTAACAAATTAAATTTTGTTTAGTTAATATTCGCTATCAGGTTACGATATAGAAAATTCTACTTGTCCTCGTATTAATCTTTTTTTGTTTTGTTTTGTATTACGGTGAACCAACACAATTTAGGTCTGAAATAAGGTACCGAAATAAGAAAGATCATTTTGGCTAACTGTGGGTGTTACAAAACCACGTCACCTGCTGGAGCTAAGAGATGAACAGATTCCAGTTACTCAAACCCATTTAGTTGCCACTTATGATCACACAGGATTTAACGGAGGCTCAACCTGTAAAGTCAACCTCTCAGCCACAAGGGGCCTGAATCTAGTCTTCTGTCTTATATCTGAAGTAATCTCAAACATCAATTACCTGAGACTGGGTACTGCAAAGGGTACAGAAAAAATGTCCCTCATGTTCCTCAAAGTTGTTTCCTCCGCACACTGTACATTCAGTCATTACAAAAACTTTATTTGAATACCTGAAATTTGAATACCATACAATTACATGTTGCAGAAAATATCAGATAAACAATATAATCTTTGAGTATGGGGATTCGGGTTACGATTGGTTGCTGCATTATTTATAAAGAGACAAATATTTTATTTCTATCATGTTCATGCAGTAAACAAACTTTTAAAATTCATGCAAATTAGGCCCAAAATAAAATACCATTATTGTTTGTTTCCCCTCCCCCTACCTACATAATTATGTACCCACAAAAATTACAGTTACCCAAAAATTGTATTGCCAAATAGATGAAAAATATTTTTTTTATAGAATCTGTCAATGAGAATCACATGCTTTTATATCTTCCTTTGTTTTTAAATTGTAAATAATTGATTAACTCAGTATAGATCCCTGAACCAAAATAGATACATTAATTTTTAAAGGGTAAAACTAGTCCAACTCAATAGACTTGTCGATAATTTTTGGATGCCAGGGCGATGTCTTATTCTGAATGGTTTGTAGGCTACTACAAATTTGAAATAAATTGCTTGTTTACATTAAAAGAGATACCATTTGATTATTTTTTGAGTGCAGTTTTTTTAGTACTAAAATAAACATTCTATTGATTTTTAGAAGAACTTGAAGATATTTTCAGGTTTTTATCAGTAAAAAAATCAATCCAAACTATCAGCAGGTCTAGGATTTCATGATATTTATTGATTGTCCGTAAATTTATAGACAGTCTAGAAATTTAAAGATTTTTCAATCCATAAATTTACAGATATTCAATGTGAAGTTTGCTGTTTTTAGTTTTACAATAAAATTCGCAGCTTAAGACAAGTTGTTTTATTGATTGTTTATATTTACAAAGGTAATGGGGTGGGTTTCATCTTTGTATGATGATTTTGAAATTTTTGTTAAAAGTGAAAATTGAAAGTCATCAAACTGTTCTGAATCTTAGCATACTGTTACATTTAATCATATGATACCTAACCTTATTCATTTTAACCTGCGGTTTTAAATTTTAATGCAACTTCTACTATTTCCTTACTTAATGTCTGTAAATTTTCAGTCAAGAAAATCTGTAAAATTATGGATCGTCCAAAAATTTACAGACTGTCCGTAAATATCATGAAATCCTAGACCTGATCAGTAGTCACTACTGATAGTTGCATTATAAACGATAATTCAATAATATACAAATATATACTGAATAAATGGTTTTGTGACTATCTGCATGTAATGTCTTCTTATGTAATCTCATCTGATAGTCTTATGATGCATCGTGTTCGTGCGTTTCCAAAAATGTTCTATCATCGCGAAAACTAGTTATAAACGTGCCATACATTGAATTAAGATTGACTATGTCAAGTATTTGTATACTAGAGAAAACGTAGAAAATGTGCCTTATTAAAATTAATATTAACTGTTAGTATATTATACCTTCACTTGTGAAGACTGTTTTTTCAAATTAAATTAAAGAGAACCACGTTATTTACCATCCACCATTTTATGATCACGTGACTAGTATTATTTTTTTTTTTTTAATTCGGATCACCTCACCATGCACCGTTAATCAAACCAAACGCACGTGCAGTAAAGACAGTAATAATGAATCGTGCACGTGGAAAGATAAAAGGGCAGAGGCATTTATTAAAATTTAAGCACCAATTTAGGTTCTTTAAAAGCAGGAATTTTGTAAAATCCCTGAACATTTTGAACTGAAGTGGCAAGTCATTGTGCCTAAAAAACTAGAGTAGATCGACTGAAGTGGCAAGTCATTGTGCCTAAAAAAAACCGAGTAGATCTAAAATCCTTGAAATTATAATGAAACTTTCAAGAAATTATCTGAAGTATTTCAGTATCTCTTATTTTTTAAGTTATATAAAAATCCCTGAAATGAAATTTTAGTCTATTTGTTGAATATGTAATATCACTTCGGTATACCGTACCCCGGATATTGCTCGATATTATGAAGACTTTCATCCCATTTCGCGACTTTGAACGGGGAACGAAGGCAAGTTCAGCGACGATATTTTCCAAACTAATGGCTATTTAATTTATCTCAACGGGTATTATATATCTAGACGTATTTTTGTAGCTCTAAAAGAGTAAAAGTATTACAGGTATAATGTAGAATTGATTAAACTACCCCAAAACGATCCGCTGCTCACTAGAAAATACTGACCGCGATACTGTAGAATTGTTAGAAATTATTATATTACCAATATAAAAATCAAAGCACAGAAGGCGCTGCATTTGTTTGGGTCTCAGAATGTCAGAAAGGTAAAGGTTGTGAGATTATAAAACAATTTGTTTTTGTATAGTACCACCAATACTTTCCAGTGTTTAACTGTAGTAAATTGGTTATAAGACTAATTACAACACTGATATTCAATCCAATGTTTATTTGACTTAAACAATTTGAAAAAAAGAATGAGTTGCCTTAACTGGGATTTGAACTCCAGACCTCTCGCTTCCTAAGCGAGCGCTAACAGTGAATTTATATGTTAACGGCCTGAAGAAAACCATATTCTAAATTAGGGTTTGTAACAACGCTAACTGTTGTTTAACACTTGTGTAAATAATTATGGCGCATACTATAAGCATGTATATCTATAAAGAATAAAACAATATTAGAAATCTTCGATCATTCGGAAATTATTTTGCTTGAAAATTAATGCGCCTGTCATGTGACCATATTTACGCAGTGATCTCCCCTGAATTTTTCGGCCTAAGTGTTACATATAAAGGGTAGTAACCGCTTCAAAAAAGCGGACTACTTTCGGCATTTGCAATTAACAGCATTAGATTCTGAAATATCGCTACCATTATTTGTTTGGTCTGACGACCCAAACAAATAAAAATTGAATCAAGCACTTTTTTTATTCACAATCCAAGTACGCTTTGTCCAAATTTCTGGCAGAAAGTGTAAAAGTACAAAAAGATACAGGCCAAAAAAAATACAAGAAAGTGTACCGAGTATTGATTTTAAGTGTACAGAGTATTGCAAAATAGCCCAACTTTAGTGCACAGTGTATTGCAAAATAGAATGAGCACATTAGTATGAAAAATCGATAATTTTGTCTAATTTCCACGTCTATTTATCGATTCCATTTCATTTTGCTGATAATGTACTGTTTATATGATATTTATTCAAATATTTCAGATTCAACAATGCTTTTTCAGTGTCATTACTGTTCTTTTTCTACGGGCAAATAACAGAGATTTAATTTCCCATTTGATTGAAAATCACACAATGGATGAAAAATAGTGTGTGCAGGATCAGAAGCAGGGTCGGGAGCAGGGTAGAACCATCAAAATTGACGCTAAAAATCTTTAAATACATGTCTCAAGAAACTGTGATCAAGGAGACCCATCTCTGAAAGAAGAATAATAACAAAACATAGATGACATTAATAATAGGTTTTTACAGGGCAAGTTTGTCTTAAGAAACATATCGACACACTTAGTAAAATATTTGCCCGAGTGCTTATGCCGTCCAAGCATGCCGGTATCGTCTTAACCTTTTACTGCATGAGCATTGCGAAAAATAGCTGTTTTCATTGAATTAAGCCTCTTGTTACAAGTTCAAACTGCTATGAAACTATAAAAAAATGCTTCAATACTGATCAAACTGAGCACAAATGTTGGCTGGACCATAGCCTGTGGAATAGCATATGCTCAATTTTAAATGGCAACGGGGAGACGTCTCAAAATTGCCAAAAATCTCTATTTTGCGTTGTTTTTCCCCATCAGAACTGATTTCAAGGTGCAGCAACTTCTCAATTGATTGAGATAAAGTCTAAGGTTTTTTGGCGTTGATTACACGGTACCTTTAAATCAACCTGAGGCCATTTTAGCCCCCCCCCCACAAGTCCCAAATCTTCTCGGCGATTAGAGGGGCAACTGCCCCACTTCAAACCCCCAAACAGAAGGGGCACATCCCCCCTGTGGCACCCCCTTGATGTACCTTTTTAATGGGGGTAAAGCCGAAAAAGTGATCACTCTTTTGATCAACATTGCTCAAGTTTGGGGCCTAAATAGCGCATATTTTACACTATTTGAGGCCTTAAAAGGGGTTGGAGGTAAAGCCTTCTAAACACGCCTTTATAGGTAAAAGGTTATAAGGAACATAACCTTTTTATTGCATCTGCTGCCCTTTATCATAATCTTATCTAAATCCATTATTCGGTTTTTGAGCTGTACCCGTTCGGCAGTCATACGGTAACTCAATGCAAATGACGTAACAAATTACACGTGCAGACGGTCTGCCGTTGCTAGAGTGCAGGTGCAAAATGACCGAAAGGTACCTTTATATGGATTTTTTGCTTAGTAGGAAGTCGGTTGATATTACATATTGGCACACTTGCTCAATACTGTCTAATATTGACAATCTTAAGGCAGCATTAATGCACTATGGATGCATTTTTTTACTATTTAAAGTAAGATATGCAATAATTATTAAAAAATTCTGGAAAGGTTGATCCTTCGATATCAACGAGAACTTTTTGAAAAGTTTGTTCGACTGAGATTTTTCATGGCAACTCCAACGCAATACTCGGTACACTGACATGTGTATTTATTCTCAAAATGCACTGTCATCTGAGGTTCTATTGTTGATTGAGCTTTTACAACATAAACATTATCATCATTATCACATTTCACTCGATTCAAGTTTTTCTTTTAAGGAAGTATATGCACAAAAACATCAAATTTGACTGATCCAAGCTCATTTATCACATGAGCAAAGAGACGAATTTTACCTCCTAATTACATTTGAAAGCTATTTCTCAACATTTTTGGGTTTTCAGTAACTAGAGAAATAATATTATTATCGAAGTATTTGTTTTTGTATAAAATTTATATCAAACCAATTGAAAATGACTAAATATCGTCATTGAACTTACCTTGTTTCCTCGTTCAAAGTCGCGAAATGTGATGAAAGTCCTTATAATATCGAGCAATATCCGGGGTACGATATACCGCAGTGAATATTTAACCAGAGGTGTTATTATGACTACATGATTGTATGCCTGTACAAATTTATTTACAAACTGATTTAGAATGTGATTCAAGCGAAAGATGATGATAACGTGTAGGTCGAGATTCACATAGAGGATGATGATTTACTGTGCACAGTATTTAATTAGTCCTGCCACGGTGCTCATCCATAGGATGTAATACTAAGTTGTTTGTAAATTAAATTTGTATACTTATAAAAATAGCATTATTTACATGCATTTCACAGAAATTAATAGAATTTGTTGCTATTATCATTAAGTAGTAAATTGTTTTTCAACAAAATTCATTAATTATTTCAACAAGATAATTATTAATGCTTTGTGTTATCTTTTACATAAATGCAATTATGATTAAACTCCTTTCATATTTCACTCATAAGCACATATGACAATTTGGAATACAAGTTTATAATAAGCTTCCTCCATTGTGTTTGCCTTTAGAAAAAAAAGGAAAAAGTAGAGAAGCTTGGATACCATTTCCTGTTGTTCTTGTATAACTTTTGGCGGGTACTAAAACTCTGTAACTGTTCATTGGGCCTGACACCTTGGAAATGTTTGTCATCATGTGAATTTATGCATCTTGGTCATTTGTCATGTTCACTGGAGATTAGCGGAGTTATGACCCTTGATTTAGCAAAAATTAACATATTAGCATATTTGGACTCAAGATAACCAATACACACTAGTAATTTTATAGTTTTTTTGGAGAAAATACAACAGAATGCAGTGGGTTTTTTTCCTCTTGCAGCTTTTGGGCTGATTCACAAAGCCAGAAGAGTGTCCTTTTTTTCACAATTGTTTTATGAACATTCAAAATTTATTGAGCAAAAGGGAAAAATAAAGTATGGGACTTTAAATTATATCATGAATCAGTGCATTTTGCAACTCTTGATTACTCTTTTCCTAAATTCAATAGCTAAAATTTAACATTATGCAAAGGTACAATTCAAAGGGCCCTGGACACATTTGCAAAAGACTGGGGGAAAGAAAAGACTGGGATGCTTGGGCATGCATGTAGAATAGATACAATTTCTTGTTGATTATAATGTTGCTTTTTACAAAATTAAAGCAAGAACAAGGAACAAAATACTCTGCTTAATAACAATCTTTTCCTGTTTTCTTTTTCCTGTCAGGTACTGATAAATGTAGTTCCTGTTCAGTAACACTCTTTTATAGTTGTTTCTTCATTTTGATGCAATAAATGTTTTATGTTTGGCCTTCATTAAATGAAAGAGAAAAGAAAATGTAGATGTTTATTTTTTTCTCTTGCATGCTGTAAAGAGAAAATGTAAAATTATATCTATTTTCAGTTGTATGCCATATCTAAGTGATGTGATGGTTGTAGTGTAAATGCAGTTTCATTCAAACGTCACAGGAATGATCAGAACAAAGTTTAGTTATACATGTACATATAGTCAGCATTTTTCAGTTCCATGTTTTTTGTCAGTTTTGACGATTTTATTATTTTTATTTGTAAAGTTTATCCTAACTACTTCTC